TACAAAATTTATTCTACATATATTTGAAATTGATTCTACAAAAATGGTCGATGACAGGTTGGACTGATGACATGTATGTAGTCTTGTTGAAAATATACAAACTGGTTCTACTAAAACTATACAAACTGATTCTCATAAAATATTATACAAAACTGATTCTACATATGTTTAAAACTGATTCTGCAAAAATAGTTGAGGACGGGTTAGACTAATGACATATATGTAGTTTTGTTGAAAAGATATAAACTAATTCTACTGAAAATTCTACAAACTGATCTACATATATTTGAAAATGATTCTGCAAAAATGGTCGATGATAGGTTGGACTAATTCTAGAAATAAAGAATACAAACTGATTTGACATATAGTTTCGAAAATGATCCTGCAAAAATTGTCAAGGGGTAGGGGTGGACATGGTTTGGTTCGGTGCAGTTTTGAGTGAAACTGCAACTGAAATTGAAACTTTTTGCAGTGCAGCCAAAATCGTTCGGTTCGGTTTAGTGTGGTTTCAAACGGTTTGGGTTCGGTTTTTAAGAAAAACAATTTAAAATTTACATCTATCTATGCATAACATAGTCTCACTTTCCACACAATACATTAATTAACCAACTCACATGAGAATTGTTTTCTTTACTGCTCCCCTTGGCTGAGAAGCTAAAAAAATTCTTGGTTTTATTTTTTTATTTTTTCTGAAAATTTTCTGGGTTTTGTTGTTTAATGTCAATGGCGATTACATTCACCTTCTTTCTCCAAAAACTTCTTCACCATCTCCATACTTGTTTGCTCAGTTCCTTCTTTCTTCATTTCAACTATTGCCTTCAGTTCTAACACCCAAAATTAACCATCTCCAAAAACATAATAACAAAATTTCCCAAATACTTTTCAGAGAACAAAAACACCCAAATTCAAGAGCAATTTATCAAAATCCCAGATTTATTCACGAATTATTCTCTAAAAAACAAAACCTATTTCATGATTCACAAAATTGTCCTTCAATTTCATGATTTGGATATGTTGGAATGTTGAATTGTTTGTTTTGGGCTTCGGTAGTAATCTTATTACAGTTTTTTTGGTGTCGGTTTTGTTGGTGAAAACGATGAAATGTGGAGAAATGATGAAAAAGTGTTGAGCCTCAGATTTCTGGTTTTTTAGAATGGCCTTAAAGATTTGTAGATTCTAGAAATTTCATTAAAAATTATTATTTTTTTTAGTGGTATGTATATGATATGCTCACAAATCTGAGCCAACCCAAAAATCCAGAGCTCATAACTCTCTCTTCGAAATCAAAAAAATAAAGTCATCACTTGTGAGTTTTTACAATTTATATGAGGGTATTTCATCACTTCAGTTTTGTGCATGGTGGGCACGACTTGTGCATGACCGATTTGTCTTATTTCAATCCTAAGATTAAGAAAATTAGTTATTTGTGAGGGGTATTGCTAGTATTTTAAAAAATTGTTGCCATGTTTTTGAGCTGGGCTTTAGATATTTTTGTATTTTTATCTTATTTTATCGGGCATAGATTTTAGATTTTGACAAACTTTTGGTGGTATTAAGAGATTTTATATTTGGACAAGTTTTTATAAAGTTGACTTTTGAATCATTGAAACTATTGTGGAAAGAAATCAAATGCGCGGTTAGTGGCATATTAAATTATTGACCGGTTAGTGCTTATACATTATGTAAGAATTATGGAAACTAGATTTTAATTCTTAAATAAGATAAAGTTTAGAAAAATGTCTTATACAAGATTAAAAATTGATTTTAGTTCGTAGACTCTATTTAATACTGGTATATGTATTCAATGTCTCTTTATATATATATATACACACACACACACACACATATATAATTTTATGGTGTTCATAAATTAAATTTTAGGAAAAATAATGTTTTTGCATATTTTCTTATATGCCACTAATTTACTACAATATATTTAGGTACAAACATTTTAATACCATAGCTTAGTATAATATGTTAAGTACGGACATTTCGGTGCACTAGTTTAGTATAATATATTTAGGTACGGGTATTTCGGTACACTAGTTTAGTATCATATATTTAGGTATGGAATTTTCTGTACACTTATGTTTTTGCATTTTTTCTTGTGTGCCTGTTGACCCTAAAAATTACTTTCAGTACAATATATTTAGGTATAGATATTTCGGTACATTGATTTGGTAAAATATATAAGATACAGACATTTAGGTATACTAATTAGAGGAAGTTAAATAAAATTAATGAATTAAAATGTGTATAATAATAAATTTAAAATTTAATGTAATGACATTAAATAAGATATCTATTAAATATTAAAACAAAAATATAATATTAATTTGAATTAAGTACACATTAAATAGACCGGCAATTTCTTACACGACCCGTTAATATGACACGAGAATAACGGGTTTCGGGTCAACATAATAACTAATTGGGTCGCATGATAAGAACCCATTAATAAAGAATCCTTAACAGGTTTACATGAAAGTGACACGCGGGTAATCTGTTTCGACATGTTAAGGAAAAAGTTGTTTGATGATTTTAATTTTTAAACTACTCAAAAAACTTACTATAAATGCAACAGACATAGTGTATAATAACCTATTTCGACACGTTAAAGAAAAAGTTGTTTGATGATTTTAATTTTTTAAACTACTAAAAAAAACTTACCATAAATACAATAGACATCGTGTATATGTATATATTTTTTAACAAAGGATGGTATGTCACATCCCGGCCCGGGGGGACCACTTCCCAGGCCCGCTCCACTACCGTAGCACGATCTTGTCCGCTTTGGGCCCCGACCACGCCCTCACGGTTTTGTTTTTGGGAACTCACACGAGAACTTCCTGATGGGTCACCCATCCTGGGAATGCTCTCAAGCGCTACTTGCTTAACTTCAGAGTTCCTACGGAACCCGAAGCCAGTGAGCTCCCAAAAGGCCTCGTGCTAGGTAGGGATGGGATATACATATAAGGATCACCCCTGGGCGATGTGGGATGTCACATGGTATATACTAAGGGGGAGGGGGTTGGGCTTAGCCTCACAATGAGCTAACAATAATGTGGTTCAAATTCACTTTTGGCAAAAATTGAACGTAAGACCTCTCACTTACAAGTGAAGAGGAATACCACCAGATCGTTGTGAGGCTAAGCCCACCCCTCCCTCCCCTGAGTGTAGATAATATCGATTGTTCAAAAAAAAAAAACGTATAATTGATATTATTCTATATAAATTTAAAAAAAAATTAAGTTTTATTTATTTTTATAGTATACTATAGGCAAAGAGTGAGATTAAAAAAATTATAAAACACATTAAAATAAAAGTATCAAGTAACTTAAAAATACAAACACATTAAAAAATTATAATAATTAATTTATAAGTGCGAAAAAAATATGCAAAGCCTCGTGATCGCATCCTCTATGCTATGAGTATGGGTACATCATTGTTTGAATTTTAAAACCATACAAACTCTCATGAATAGTATTTTTAAGGGAGTTCAAAATAAATAAGATTCATAATCATTATTATACAAGTCTAAAATATGTGAAAGCATAAACCTGCAAGGTTCCTCAACCTTGAAATGCAACTTCTTTCATTTTGCATATCCTTGAACATTTGGTATTTTATTGTAATGTACTAATATTTTTCTCATTAGACTCTTATTTTGGAGAATATAATACTTGAAAGACAAATGTTGGTTTTTATTTATTTATTTTATGTTTTGGAGTAATATTTGTATGATAATGTGGTATGCATATACTAATTTAGTATTATGTTTTCTATTTTTTTTTTGGTCAAATTATGTTTTTCATTTTCATTATTTATTCATTTAAAATATATTTTCTTTATTAGGTAACGGGTCGGGTCATATTACCCGTTTACTTTAACAGTGTCATATTACCCGTTTACTTTAACAGGTGTTACATGACACGACCCATTAAGATATTGCCTATGACATGAAAACGACACGAATGCCAGATCTAACATTAAAGGACTAAAATCAATATCCAATCTAACACCAAATTTTTATTAAATTTTAATCTTCTTCGAGGATTAAAGTTCAAAAACTCCTAAGAATTTACCCATTTAGTGTGAAAATCTATATTTATAACCTTTTAAATCTATTGTTTGGAGTGATGATGGTGATGGTAAATGTGGATGGAGTTTGCCGGGTGCCATTTCTGCAACGTTGTTCTCATGGGAGTTTCGCAACATTTTACAACTCTTTCACAATTAGGTCGTTAGACACGACCCGGGCCGTGGCATATAGTCAACTGCTTGAATACTTGAAAGTTTGAAAGTTTCATGCATTCCACGAAGCATTTAGTAATTTCCTTCCTATTTTAATTTTTATATTTCCGTTGGCGTTTTCCTTTCTATTTTAATTTAATTTTTATATTTCTGTTGACGTAGGTTAGGTTTTTTTTTTTTTTTTTTTTTTTTTTACATTAATATTTTTACACTAGGAGGATAAAGAGTTCGGCTAAGTCACACAATAGGCAACCTAATTTGGTATCAAATTCGCCATCCATGAGATTCAAATCTAAAACATCTCACTTCTAAATGAAAAGGAAAACCATCAGGTAATAACGAGTGATCGTACGTGAGGTTTTTAGCTTTGTGCATAGAGTCAACTGCTAAAGCTTTTGATGATTTTGAGATAATTCCTTCTCTCTGCAACCTTCTTTCGTGATGTGCCTATTGCAAAATTTGTGAAGTTTTCGGTTCCTCATTGCTGATTCTAATTTATTTGCAGGTAGTGCTTAATTGAGTTTTTAAATGAAAATTTCAACTGAGAAGGAAGAGATTGGCAAAATAAAAAATGCTAATGTTTGAGAAATTGTCTAAAATTAAATATCGACCATGTATGGATCAAATAAAACTTGCTGATGTTTGAGAAATTTGCAGGTAACTTTCTTCTCTTTCTCTTGCTTGCCTTATTGGATCCTCAGGTGAGTTGGATTTCATTCCTCTTGCTTGCTAAAAAGAAACGAGAGATGGAGTTCAATGGGTTCTTTCAAATTATCATCATCATTGCCACCGCCATCGTGACTCTGTTGTACACGTGCTTCAGATCATTAACATTTGTTTGTTGGCCTTCTACTGCTTCTTTTTCTTCTTCTTCGGATGGTGATGATGATGATGATGATGATGATGATGATGATATCCCAGCCCCTCGGGAAAAGTATGATGTGTTTATTAGTTTCAGAGGTGAGGACACCCGCAATACGTTTACTAGCCATCTTCACGGTGCCTTACTCCAGAAGAAAATTGAAACGTACATAGATTATAGACTTGTGAGAGGGGGCGAAATTGCACCAGCCCTTCTCGAAGCAATTGAGAAATCTACGATTTTGTTGGTCATTTTCTCACAAAACTATGCATCTTCCACGTGGTGTTTGGATGAACTTGCACATATACTACACTGCAGGGAAAAATATGGCCAGTTGGTTATACCCATTTTCTACGGCACCAGTCCATCAACGGTACGAAGACAAAGGGGGAGTTATGAAGTTGCGTTTGCTCAACTTGAAAAACGTTTCAAGGGCACTATCGACAAGGTCAACGTGTGGAGGGCTGCTTTGACGATTGCAGCTAGTCTTTGTGGCTTCTCAAACAAAACAGGGTAACTAATTCTAAAACTTTTAGTGATTTCTACTCATGAAAACTTAATGCATACAGAATTAATTAACGAATGGCTATTACTAACTGTTAGTTGTCCATCATATATTTGTCAGGACGGAGGCCAATTTAGTTAAGAAACTTGTAAATGAAATTTGGAGCCAATTGAATCGAAAATCTTCAAGTGTTCTACAGGGCCTTGTTGGAATGGAAAAACGCATTGACCAAATTGAGTCATCATTATGCATTGATTCACTTGATGTATACACTGTAGGTATTTGGGGCATGGGTGGCATTGGCAAGACCGCCCTTGCTGATGCTGTGTTTCATCGACTCTCGTCTAAATTTGAAGCTGCTTGTTTTCTTGGAAATGTTAGGGAGAAATCAGAAAAAAAAGATGGACTAGTTCACTTGCGAAACACACTTCTTAGTGAGATATTGAAGGAAAAAGATCTAAATATCGGCACTCCAACTATAGGATCAGATCTTGTTAGAAAGAGGATGGCAGGGACGAAGGTCCTCATTGTTCTTGATGATGTAAATGATTCAAACCAATTAAATTTTCTAGCTGGCGATCCTGCTCTGTTTGGCCCTAGAAGTAGAATCATTATAACGACTAGAGATAAGAGCCTACTTCAGAAAAGGGTTGAACATAATAAGATATGCAAGGTTCAGGAATTAGATTCTGATGAAGCTTTTCAACTCTTTCATTTGAGTGCTTTCCGAAATAAAACTGCTAGCGAAGATTATACCGAGTTGTCCAAACTTGTGGTAGAATATGCTGGAGGCATTCCATTAGCTCTTAAAATTTTGGGTTCCTCATTCCTTCACCGTGAGAGCAAAGAAGATTGGCTGGATGAATGGAAAGAATTTCCAAGAGAAAAGATCTGGAATGTGCTGAGATCAAGTTACGATGGATTAAAAGAAATTGAGAAGGAGATATTTCTTGATATAGCATGTTTCTATCAAGGGAAAGATGTGTACATTGTAAAAGAAATGCTAGATATATGTGGCTTTCGTGCAGCTGCACTTGGAGTTTTGATTGATAAGTCTCTCATATCAATTTCAACGAATAACTGCCTGGAGGTGCATAGCTTGTTACAAGAAATGGGTAGGGCAATTGTTCACGAACAAAGTATTGAAGAGCCCATAAAATGCAATAAATTATTCTTGGATGAGGATGTCAATCGGGATTTGAAAACTAACACGGTAAGAGTAAGATCTCCAAATGCATTCAGTTTCATCCTAGTTTTTTTTGTAGATTGTATTCATATTCATAATTTGTTCTTATTCTCAGGGACGAGCAACGCTACAAGCCATTTTCTTTAACAGGTCTGCGATTGGAGGGATACTCTTGAATCATGCAGACTTTCAAAAGATGTATGATCTGAGGTTGCTGTATGTTTACAACTCTAGCCGTAACAAGTACTGCAAAGTAAAAGTTTCTCTTCCCCATTCTCTTACTTATCTTGACTTGGAGGGATACCCTTTCAAATCTTTGCCATCAAAACTTTGTTCGGAATATCTTGTTGAGCTTCAAATGCGCAACAACCATGTTGAACAACTTTGGAACGAGGTCCAGGTTTGTATATGCTTATTTTATTATATAAATGCGGTGTAGATATCTATTTGGTCTGTCTATTATTAATTCTTTCCAATTGTCATTGATTTGTTACAGAATCTTAGAAACTTAAAAGTGATGGATCTTGGCTTGTGTGATCGTCTGATTAAAGTCCCAGATCTCTCTCAAAGTCCAAACATCGAGCATATAGATCTTTATGGGTGTAAAAGTCTGGTTGAAATTCCTTCGTATTTTCCATGTCTCAACAAGCTGAGTTATCTTAACCTGACAGACTGCACCACACTCAAATATCTTTCGGAGATGCCAAGCAGTATTGAGTACTTATATTTAGATAGCACTGCAATAGAGGAATTGCCTTCATCAGTTTGGTCTCTTGAAAAAATTCGGTTCTTGGAGCTTCCCAAGAATATACCAGTATTAGACTTGAGTGGGGCAGCGACTAAATGCAAAAATATTCTGGGTCTCCCAGAGACCATTTGTAAATTAAAATCTCTGAAGAGACTTGATCTGAGTGGAACCAAAATAAAAAACCTACCTGCAAGCATTGGTAATATGAAATCTCTTGAGAAACTTGATCTGAATGGAACCACAATTGAAAGCCTACCTGCAAGCATTGGAGATTTGAAATCTCTTGAGAAACTTGATCTGAGTGGAACCGCAATTAAAAGCCTACCTGCAAGCATTGGTAATTTGAAATCTCTTGAGAAACTTGATCTGAGCGGAAGCGCAATTGAAAGCCTTCCTGCAAGCATTGGTAATTTGGAATCTCTTCAGAAACTTGATCTGAGGGGAAGCGCAATTGAAAGCCTACCTGCAAGCATTGGTAATTTGGAATCTCTTCAGAAACTTGATCTGAGTGGAAGCGCAATTGAAAGCCTACCTGCAAGCATTGGTAATTTGGAATCTCTTCAGAAACTTGGTCTGAGTGGAAGCGCAATTGAAAGCCTACCTGCAAGCATTGGTAATTTGAAATCTCTTGAGAAACTTGATCTGAGTAGAAGCGCAATTGAAAGCCTACCTGCAAGCATTGGTAATTTGGAATCTCTTGAGAAACTTGATCTGAGTGGAAGCGCAATTGAAAGCCTACCTGCAAGCATTGGTAATTTGAAATCTCTTGAAAAACTTGATCTGAGTGGAACTGCGATCAAGTGCCTACCTGCAAGCATCAAAGAAGCTTCTGGGCTGATTTGTCTGCAGTTAACCAATTGCACGAACCTTGAATCTTTACCAGAGCTCCCAGCGGTACGTTGGCTTCAAGCACATGGCTGCACGTCACTAAACAAAGTGTTGAGCTCAAAAACTGCCCTTACACTAGGTTGGGATGAATATAAACATTCTCAAGGGCTTCAAGAGCAACTTACATATTCAAATTGCAAAGGAATGGGATGGGATGCATGGCGCGATATAGTTACTGATTCACAGATTAGAATTATGCGAATGGCAACTGCGTTATCGAAGTATTTTACACAAGAAGAAATTAAGGTAGCATTTTCTCTTGAATTTGAGGCTTGGATGTAAAATCAATTTCGAAGGCTATAGTGATCATCGTATCTATCATCGGAGTTGCATGGTTGCCGAATATGGGGAAATCAACGAGTTCAAGTTCGAAACGCCTCACGTGTTCGTCTGGTTTAGTACCATTGACCATGTAAAGCAAGGAAGCTACAATGGCGTCACCCAGGCCACATTTGACTTCTACCCAATAATACATGATCGTCCTGATGGCAGAGCCGTTGATTGGTCCAAGATAAAGGTGACAAAGTGCGGGGTCTTCCCAATGTATGCCCCAGTTGATTCGATATTGGCATCGAGGATGAAACAGGTGAGGGAGATAAATGTAGAGGCACACGAATCATTTCCTTATTTAGTAGATCTCATGTTTAACAGGAGGGCAGCCAGACCTGATCTAAGTCTCTGAATTATTTTGTAATTTACATGCTGTTTCTTTATTTGTGCAATTGAAATATTGTAACAACCCGTCCCGGAATTTACGTAAGAAAATGGGTATTTTTGTATTTTCACTAAGTTTGGGGGATACCTTCCTTTTTAAAATTGTTTTTGAGCCTTAATTGATGAGCCCAAGGGGCCCACCCCCTGTTTTTGTCCCCCGGTTCCTCCCCTTTCCCATTTCTTTTCTTTTTTTTCTGAAAAGTCTTCTCCTCTCTTCTCTCTTTCTTCCTCCATGCTCTCTCCTTTCCCCCCCTCTCGGTCCGACAAGAACACACACACACACACACCCAAGCCCACACCTATAGCTCTTTTCGAACCCCATGGTTCTGTTTTGGACGTCAAATCACGAAGAAACCACCTCGGAGACATTTCCCAGTTTTCCGGCAAGCACCGTCCCTTTCGAGGCGATTTCCGGCCAAACCACGGCGAGTTGGCCGGCGTGCGAGGTATCAATCTCTTCGTCTCGCTGAGTACTACAACTTTCCTTTTTGTTTCACCTAATTTCATTGAGTATTGAAGAAGTTATGCTCATTTGAATCTTACCCAGTTTCCGGCGGACACCCGTGGCTTCCAAGCTGTTTTCCGGCCAACTCCGGCCACAATGACGGGAACCAAGGGTATATTTCGATTCCTTACCTTCGGGGCTTCAATTTGGTATATTGAATGACATGTTTTAGCTGAGTTTTGAGCTCCAACGGAGCTTGGGAATTCTCCGGCCGAAATCCGGCCTTCTCCCTCTTTGGACTCCGGCGAACACCCAAGGCCTTTGGGCCTTTCCTGCCAAGCCCAAAACCTGGGCAGCCCAACCCAACACCCTTTGTAATTAGGCCTTTGGGCCGTTTGTTTTAGGGCCTCTGGCCCGTTAACCCTAAACCCATTAGACCCAAACCCTTAGGCCCAACCCGGATCCAACCCAAGTCCAAACCCAATACCCAAACCCAATTCACCTAAAACCCAAACCCATTTACCCTAAACCAAACCCAAAACCCTAAAGCCCAAACCCGTGACCCGTGACCCGTGACCCGTTGACCTTGACCCGTTGACCGTTGACCCGGTCAACGGTCAGCGTTGACCAGTCAACGGTCAAAGTTGACTTTGACCGTTGACTTGACCTCGGGTTGACTTTTTCGGTTTTCGTGCGGGACCCCCCCTAGGCTAATTTCGACGTCCTGAACCCGTTTCCGATGTCCGTTTTCCCAAATTCAACCGTTTGAGTAGAGTTTGACTAAATGTACCGTTTATGTGCTTAGGGGCGATTATCTGTGGCGTTTCCTTCTTTGCTAGATGGCGTGGCTTTTCGACGGTGAAGTACTGTGAGTGGACCCCTTCTAAAAATGCATGTTTTGATAGTAGAAATGCATACATGAAAAGAATGATTTGATGATTATGTTTTATGAAACGTTTTACGAGATAACATGCTTACTGAGGCTAGTTTGAATTATTACTATTTTTCCTATAACCCATGTTCTTATAGAATATCTGATGGATGACGATATGATATTTAGAACATGTTTAGAACACTTCTTTATAGTATAGATGATGGATGACTTTATACTATGAAGTTGATTTTCAATATATGTATGTTCACTGGTTTTATACCTACCTAGTGGTCCTTTCCGCTACGGGACGTAGGGATAGATCCGGTCCGTCCCGGGCGACGGTTTGGTGTTGGCATAGGGCCTGGAGTGTGTTTTCCTCTGACTGTCTGCTCAGAGACGGGGAGCCGGCAAGGGGCCTGAAGTGTATTTTCCTCTAACTGTGTGCTCAGAGACGGGGAGCCGGCATGGGGCCTGAAGTGTTATATCGGACATTCACTAGTGTTTATTATTTATGCGAATTATGATTTGAGACATTGCACGACATGCTAGGTTTCGGAAAACCTATGTTTATCATTATATATATGTGTTTTCATAAAACCTGGGGGTTAGTATGTTGATAACTGTTTTATTATATATATATCAACTTGGTCCACTCATGTTTGTTTTGCGCCCCCTTCAGGACTTAGAATCGAGGCATACAATCCCGACGTCCAGGCACTTCCGCATCGGCATCTTCGAGTCCTCTCGGCGTAGGACCACTCATTTGTTTCATTCAATTTTATATTATTTTCTTTTAGTGTTCTAGATTAGTGGTGTGCTCTGAACACGGTCCTTATTTGCATGTTCATTATTCTTTTATATTTATAAACCTTATTTATCCTTTATTTTCAGCATTTGCACTTAATAAATGGCTTTCGTCACCCTCGGGTGTCGGCCAGCACGTGCCTATCCTGGTATTCGGGGAATATCGGGGTCGGGGCGTGTCAGATTGGTATCAGAGCGTAGTTTTGTTCAGAGCATACTTAGGATCTTCTGTTAGTGTAGTAGTGTGTTTGTCATGACATCATTTGGATGTCACGACTTCCGGTTTTGGTGTCATTCGACATAGTTGTGCAAACCTTTCTCTGTTTGAATTGTCATCTTCTGGTTGAAATACAAGAATTCGTGTCGGGATTATGCCTCAGTGCTGATGAAGTGGATTGTTGGATGACTTTCGACATCGGATCGATACTCTACATCGTGCATTCCCTGGGAATTTCGGACATAATTTGGTTTTACCTAGGAGCATTGGGAAACGGAAAAACCCTAAGTGAGTTGACTTTGGAAGATATGAAGCGGTTTTGTACTTTACGACGTGCATTCTCAGGGAATGGCGGGCACAGTAAGTGTTACTTGGAAGCGACGTGTTCTAGAAATCTTAGTTTGAGGAAGTCTGGGCGAGACCAGTTGTAGATACGAAATGGCGATGCCACTCTGCAACATGCGTTCCCTAGGAATTGCGGGCAGAGTCGGCTCTACATCGAAATCTAGGGAAACAGAAAAAAAATCTTGACGGTACGAGTTGGTTGAGATCAACTAGAACCTTGAAACGATGACATCACTCTGCGACATGCGTTCCCTAGGAATGGCGGGCAGAGTCATATTGCAGTGGCAACTACTTGAAATATTCGAAGTGCGTGTTTGAGAAAGCAAGTAAGCGCTTGTGGTGACGACGATTAGTAAGTGGTAGTTGGCGGGAGCAAATCAATGTTCTCAGGCTCATTACCACTGAAGAAACTCGTGGGAATCGGTAGAATGAATCTTCGATGATTGTTCTATCAGTAACCTCTTTGCTTACCTCAACGGCGAAGTCAAGTTCCTTAACCTTTGACCGTTAGCTTTACACCAAATTCTTCGGGAGTTGACTTCATTTAAATTAGATAATTTCTTAAGTGACTCTTCGATAGCAGACACTATTCTCACCAATTTCCAAAAGCAATTGCGATTCTTTTGTGGTTGTAGTTGGATTTGGTTGATGAAGATCCATGCTTGTTTGGATAAACAGACTTTTTGAACTTCACCTGGGTTTGGCACTAGGCGGTAAATCCTAGCATCTTGCCCACGTATTTTTCAGTAGATTGAACTTAGCCTTTTGCTTGTAACCCAACTGACCAGTACTCTTGTCCACTAATTGTTTAGCCTTATAATTTTCAATGTAATGGCTTGAGACTACCATATTCTTCATTGTACGAAGATCGAGCTTTACTTTGAATTTCTCTGGACTCATTGAGCTTTGGTTTGCTCAAGGGCATCACTTGGAGTTAGCCAATCGTGTCATTGCATGCTTACACAGACTGCTTTGTATCTTTCTTCTTCGTCATTCTGTTGGTTCAGAGGTTCTATGTTTAATTTTTGAACTTTGAAACAGCTTACAACGTATTGTGAATTTCGAAATGTCTTTGATCTCGTCAAATCTTATTAACAGTTCTTGACTATTTCTTGAGCTTATACCTATTTCCTTTTTGGCTAAGGAACCAGTCAACCTTACCGTGTTGATTAACCAAATAATCATAAACAGTGATTTCTATTTCTGCATCTTTACCTTCCTTCGTTGGTTTGTTTCTCATCCAGATATCTTGTACTCTAGTTTTAATAGACTTGTTTTGATCCTCAAATTCTTGGGTGTTCTTTTAGCCTTCTTTACATGGTTTCTCGCTCAATTAGTGAAGAATTCACGATCGATCAATTCGGTGGAAGTTTGTGCCCAATTCTTATCATTTCAGACAGAAATGTGGGGAGCATGATCTTTTCACAAGCTTACCCTACTTACCAGAAAGAGTTCCACGTGGGTGTGAGGTTGGAGTCGTCTTGTGGTAGGAGGTTGGTGAAGATTGTGGTGCAGGTGAGCAGCAGATTGCATCATTATCTTCACGTTGAATTGAATGGTCACTACTCATTATCTTGCTACAATTCATAACCATCATATCGTACTTTGGCAGACCTTTTCGATGATGTGATGTGTTCGCCTCAACGTGGCTTTCCACTACCTTGGCACCAGGATCCTTCAGTTCGTGAGCACGTGAGCGTGATGTTTGGGCGATCTTTTATTAAGAGTTGGATGAAGGTTTGAGTACAGACGGTCAGCGGATTGTATCACCATCTTACTATAATTCATAGGCATCACATCGGTTATTTTCCAATGTTATGTGTCGTCTCAACTCATCTTTTCACTGTTCCGCTTCAAGACTCGTTTGTTGTGAGTACGTAGTTATTGAAACACTTCTAGCAGATCTGTTTAGTGCACTCTGGGTTGGCACCATATCGTGGTCGAGGCGAGAATCGAATAATCTTTACACTTTTCTCGAAAAGTGTGTACTCTCATTTATTTTTTTTTGGTTGATTACTTGAGAGTCCTTTCCATCAACTTTGACCTTGTTTTACTAGAAATCTGCAACTAAGCAAAAACTGGAGGGGTGGTTTGAGCACTACAATGATTCCCAAGAGATACCGCTTGTTGGGAAAGGTGACTTCTCGTTTTCTGCTTGCTTGGCTCGAGTTTTTGGGTCTACTAGTAACATGGTATCCACTTCCTTTGAATCCCAAGGTACAGTTTTCAAATGGGTTCTTTGTTGGCAAAACACTGGAGTAGTTGGTCACATTTGGAAGAATTGAGGAGGAAAGTATGCTTGATACTGGATAGAGTTTTATGACGACAGTTTCTGTTTTGTTCGGTTTGAGTACGCCATTTTTGCGACATGGTACGAGAGTTCTACAGGCAATACTAGTTAGCAGAGGAGTATTGGGAACTAGTATTCGAAAGATTAAATTTACGACGCGTGAAATTGGGCACCCTCAGCAAATTATTGCTTGCTTATCGAAACAACAAATGTGTGATCGATATCACGGGCGGCCGACTGTGGTATTGAAAACTTATTCGTTGGGTTCGTTAAGCAAGTGGGCAGAAAGATTCATCTTCAGCAGTTGGTACGGATTTGCTATTGTTAGGACTTGACCTAGAGACGCATCTTTTCTCGGAGTACGTGACGTTCGTATGCTTAGGCGAGACCCACTCTCATTTTTTCAGTTTTGAGTTTAGTTTTGATTTTCAGTGTAAGTATTTTAACTTCATTTTCTTTAATTATTTGTTTTCGACGTTACAAATATTTTGGGGGAAGTATTTCCATTTTCAGTTTTAAGTTAAGTGCGAGTTTTTGACCTATATGTTAGTACATATCTATTTTTACTATTTTGACGCTATAGTATTTTGCGTACTTAATTTTGACCTTATGTCAATATATATTTTCGACTTTATATCTTATTAAAGTATGTTTCTACTTTTACACTGATGGGGAAGAAAGTAAGAGCTTGGAGGCATGATAGAGGATTTGGCAAACCGCTCGCGACGGTGTGACATTTTCTCTTTGATGCACCCACTCTGACTTGAATTCTCTTTATACATATATTTTTCTTCCTATTTTCGAGTATTTCGGTTTAAGTTGTGATTTTAAATTTCGGGACGAAATTCTTTTAAGGGGGGTAGATTGTAACAACCCGTCCCGGAATTTACGTAAGAAAATGGGTATTTTTGTATTTTCACTAAGTTTGGGGGATACCTTCCTTTTTAAAATTGTTTTTGAGCCTTAATTGGTGAGCCCAAGGGGCCCACCCCCTGTTTTTGTCCCCCGGTTCCTCCCCTTTCCCATTTCTTTTCTTTTTTTTCTGAAAAGTCTTCTCCTCTCTTCTCTCTTTCTTCCTCCATGCTCTCTCCTTTCCCCCCCTCTCGGTCCGACAAGAACACACACACACACACACCCAAGCCCACACCTATAGCTCTTTTCGAACCCCATGGTTCTGTTTTGGACGTCAAATCACGAAGAAACCACCTCGGAGACATTTCCCAGTTTTCCGGCAAGCACCGTCCCTTTCGAGGCGATTTCCGGCCAAACCACGGCGAGTTGGCCGGCGTGCAAGGTATCAATCTCTTCGTCTCGCTGAGTACTACAACTTTCCTTTTTGTTTCACCTAATTTCATTGAGTATTGAAGAAGTTATGCTCATTTGAATCTTACCCAGTTTCCGGCGGACACCCGTGGCTTCCAAGCTGTTTTCCGGCCAACTCCGGCCACAATGACGGGAACCAAGGGTATATTTCGATTCCTTACCTTCGGGGCTTCAATTTGGTATATTGAATGACATGTTTTAGCTGAGTTTTGAGCTCCAACAGAGCTTGGGAATTCTCCGGCCGAAATCCGGCCTTCTCCCTCTTTGGACTCCGGCGAACACCCAAGGCCTTTGGGCCTTTCCTGCCAAGCCCAAAACCTGGGCAGCCCAACCCAACACCCTTTGTAATTAGGCCTTTGGGCCGTTTGTTTTAGGGCCTCTGGCCCGTTAACCCTAAACCCATTAGACCCAAACCCTTAGGCCCAACCCGGATCCAACCCAAGTCCAAACCCAATACCCAAACCCAATTCACCTAAAACCCAAACCCATTTACCCTAAACCAAACCCAAAACCCTAAAGCCCAAACCCGTGACCCGTGACCCGTGACCCGTTGACCGTTGACCTCGGGGTTGACTTTTTCGGTTTTCGTGCGGGACCCCCCCTAGGCTAATTTCGACGTCCTGAACCCGTTTCCGATGTCCGTTTTCCCAAATTCAACCGTTTGAGTAGAGTTTGACTAAATGTACCGTTTATGTGCTTAGGGGCGATTATCTGTGGCGTTTCCTTCTTTGCTAGATGGCGTGGCTTTTCAACGGTGAAGTACTGTGAGTGGACCCCTTCTAAAAATGCATGTTTTGATAGTAGAAATGCATACATGAAAAGAATGATTTGATGATTATGTTTTATGAAACGTTTTACGAGATAACATGCTTACTGAGGCTAGTTTGAATTATTACTATTTTTCCTATAACCCATGTTCTTATAGAATATCTGATGGATGACGATATGATATTTAGAACATGTTTAGAACACTTCTTTATAGTATAGATGATGGATGACTTTATACTATGAAGTTGATTTTCAATATATGTATGTTCACTGGTTTTATACCTACCTAGTGGTCCTTTCCGCTACGGGACGTAGGGATAGATCCGGTCCGTCCCGGGCGACGGTTTGGTGTTGGCATAGGGCCTGGAGTGTGTTTTCCTCTGACTGTCTGCTCAGAGACGGGGAGCCGGCAAGGGGCCTGAAGTGTATTTTCCTCTAACTGTGTGCTCAGAGACGGGGAGCCGGCATGGGGCCTGAAGTGTTATATCGGACATTCACTAGTGTTTATTATTTATGCGAATTATGATTTGAGACATTGCACGACATGCTAGGTTTCGGAAAACCTATGTTTATCATTATATATATGTGTTTTCATAAAACCTGGGGGTTAGTATGTTGATAACTGTTTTATTATATATATATCAACTTGGTCCACTCATGTTTGTTTTGCGCCCCCTTCAGGACTTAGAATCGAGGCATACAATCCCGACGTCCAGGCACTTCCGCATCGGCATCTTCGAGTCCTCTCGGCGTAGGACCACTCATTTGTTTCATTCAATTTTATATTATTTTCTTTTAGTGTTCTAGATTAGTGGTGTGCTCTGAACACGGTCCTTATTTGCATGTTCATTATTCTTTTATATTTATAAACCTTATTTATCCTTTATTTTCAGCATTTGCACTTAATAAATGGCTTTCGTCACCCTCGGGTGTCGGCCAGCACGTGCCTATCCTGGTATTCGGGGAATATCGGGGTCGGGGCGTGTCAAATATACAAGTCAACAACTACAATTGCTAAACTAAGTTTTCATCTAGTCTCTGCTCTCCAGTCAACTGCTATCACATCTCTTACTAGCTATTGCCTTGAGAGTCCTAAGGAGGGAAATCCGTCCTTCGTCTTTGTCTTTTCAGTCTGAACAGATCTATTCTATTTCTTTGACAAGAAGACGAGCTTGGATCTGAAATTCTCACACCAGTTGGCACTTTATGTTGCTCGTCCTCAATCCATATAACCACTGTCTTTGTAAATTTAGTCTACAAAACATCCTTGGCCTTAATTTAAGGAGCTTGGCTTTACCTCATTTGGCTTTCCGGAGTCCAATTAACTTGATAGTCAAACAGACCAAGGGGGCCTATGATATTGCATTTTGGCTCTTCCCATGAATGCGCTCCTATCACATCTCTAACTTTATGATCTTACCAGACGCAGTCCTAATCTCATGCGCCTCGTTTGATGTCTAGAATTGGCTTGGGGGGTTGGATAACTGTTACCAGACATAGACGCAAATAGTGTTGAATGAAGAAATGAATATCCACTTGTATAGTTACATGTTCTTTTGAAAGCTAATTGTACGCAAATGTAAAAACAAATTACTAAGAAGGATAATACAAACAAGGAGAATGATTCTGTGACGTATACATAAGCAAATAAGAAGGATATATTTATTTCGACATCTAGTTAATTCACATAATCATTCTCCTTTTTTGGATAAGCAAATAAGCTTTCTGGAACTATGAAACCAAATTGTACATAGATGTAAAAGTCTCTGTTCCGCACAGCCGGAAACTAACCTAACACACCGAGTAGATAAACAGGAACGCTATATAGCTAGTCTCTGCAACTTCTTTCATGCATAATTCGATCCTGAGGTGAATTAAAACGTCTTCCAATCAATCATACACTATCTCTTTTCCCAAAAAGTAAAAAATAAAAAACAAAATAAAATTATGCACTTCCCATCTCTGCATCTTCTTTCTTGATCTGAAAGTCATCCCACAGACCGACCAAAAAAAAAAAAAACAAGAAAGTCATACCACAGACTTACGCTAGGCTAGTTCTCTATCAAAAGAGCACAGCGGTAATGTGTTTATATATCTGTGTGTGTATATCTTCACTGTCCAAAGATTGTTACCCCCAGCTCATTGAAAAAGTTTGATGTACTTGATAGTTTTAGAGGCGAGGACACCCTCCGTACTTTTACCAGCCATCTTCATCATGCCTTTACAAGAAAATCGAAACCTACATAGATTGCAGAAATCACAGAGGAGATGAATTGCACCAGCCCTTCTTGATGCTATCTAGAAATCAGAGCTTTTGGTGATCATTTTCTCACAGAACTATGCGCATTCCTCATGGTGTTTGATTGAACTGGTGCATATAATGGAATGCAAGGAAAAAAATGGCCAATCTACGACATCAGTCCATCAGATTTAAGGAAAGAAAACGGGATTTATGCAAATGCAATTTTCTTAAATTTTTCCGAGCTAGGTGTCCAAAGACATAATGGGTGTAAAGAGAACTTCTCTAGAGTCAACCTATCATTCTGCCTCCCATAGAGATTAGTTGGTCAAGTGCCTCGGTTAACTGTTGTAACCCTAGTATAGGAGTACGTTCACGCATGGTTGGCATAACTCTGCCAAGTAGACATTTAGATATTAGCACAATAACTTGCACGATCCGATGCAAATGTATACCCACTAACCATGCTCTAATACCAAACTGACCCATCCCGACCAAATAACCAACTAGCTAAAGGGTCGTAAAGTGATAGCTGACACCACGTTGACAATGTAACCTCGACGTAAGGTGACAAAACACCATCAACTTAACGACGAAAGCCATAATAAGGAAATTATGATGTGAACAAATTTGAACCAACGAGGCTCTTTTATTAATTAATTCAAACTATCCTGCAAATCCTACACAACCACCCCACTTGGGGACACAACCAGGGAATACACTCCCATTATTACCACATCGAGTTCAGAGCTCACAACAGTATATACAACAGTTAACACAAATTTGAGTGTAGTGCTATGCATAATCCAAGTACGATAATGCAAAACTAGATAAAGTAGAAGTGAGATCACCCTAGTCCTCAGGTGAATAGCCTCACTGCCAAGCCCACTCGTCTCTCCCAAAAGCCTCCTTGCTTTCACTATGTCCTGAGGGGTCAAAAAACAAGGTGTGAGTGGATCATAGTCATTTATCTAGTTAAAATCTTTTCAAATGTACCAATCATCATTTTGTAAATCATATATAATTCAAAACTACATAACAGCATCTACTATAGTATATAGTCAAATAACACCATAATCCAATTCAATCAAATTCATATCAGATCATCAATCAAATGATACCAAGACAAGTCAAAGATCATACCTGAAATCAATCACAAAAACTAGCAGTTCCTAGTACAGTATAGCAAGCAAGTGAAATGGCATCTACCTGAACAGTAGCTAGCCTCTACTAGAAATATCGACGCCTGCAAATAATCCCACAGCTGTAGCTAGCTATACAAAGTGCATGATGACCATACGGTGAAAATAAATCACCAAAGTCATTAATTTAACTACAACATCAACGTTATTCATATCTACTTAGGTCTCCTCAAGACTGACTCAAATCATTCATTTATCAAAAATAGTTTAACCAAAACATAGTTTTTGAAGGATATCCACTCATAGGTAGTCTGAGCGTGTTTCCTTGTTAGGCTCCTTGCGTTTGTCCAATTTAACTGAACTTGTACCTATGAATGTATAACTTAGCTTATATAAGCACCTTTATATCATTTCGTTAATTCAACACCTAAAATTGCTATCTAGAAATTGAATTTGCACGAACGAAGGGCGCCACGTGACTCATAACGTTGAAAAACCTAAGGTTAGGTCTCAGGTCCTGCATGCACCACCACGTGCCACCATGCGTTGTTCACGCACTGCAACGAGCCGCCACACACCGGTTGATCAATGGTGCACGCGCCACCGACACATCATACTCAATGCCGCAGTTTGGACGTCACAATCGCCGTCTTCAAGGCCACGCGCCCGGACGTAAAAAAACTCAAGTGAAGGTGATGGAATATACCTTTTTTGTTGGGAGATTTCGTTAAAGTTAACGGATCCATCGTTGTTGTCGTTAATCCTAACGTCGACGACCTTTGACCACCGTCTGCCACAGTTGAAGACTCACTGAAAACTGTAGGTTTTTCAAAAAAGTTGCAGAGCTCCGTTTAGTTTGATGTCGACGGAGATTTCAATCCAACTTCAACCAAAACCTCACAAGAAGCGCATAGAACTTACCTAAACTCAAATTTGGACGATTTGAGGTCAAATCCACCCCGGATTTGACAGGGCTTGACCGGTGTAGCTCACCCAGATTCTGGATATGGTGGTTCGGTATCTTCCCAGCACCTGATCACACATGCAAAGGCACCATTTTGATCTTTAGGTCATGGTGATTCAGAATATGGTGGTTCAATCAAATTCATATCAAATCATCAATCAAATCATATCAAGACAAGTCAAGGATCATATCTGAAATCAATCACAAACTAGTATTTACTAGTACAGTTTCGCAAGCAAGTGAAATGGTATCTACCTGAACAGTAGCTAGCCTCTACTAGAAATATCGACACTTGTAAATAATCTCAAGGCCGTAGCTAGCTATACGAAGTGCATGATGACGATGTGGTAAAAATAAAGGCTTTTTAGCCAAAATAATCTATGAGATTTGCATAACTCCTCATTTTGGTCCCTAAAATTTGAAATCAATAGAATTTGTCCGTGAAAGTTGCAGAGCTCTGTTTAGTTCGATGTTGATGGAGATTTCAATCCAAATTCAACCAAAACCTCACCAGATGCCCAAAGAACTTACCTAAACTCAATTTTGGATGATTTGGGGTCGAATCCACCTCAGATTTGATCGGGCTTGACCGGTGTAGTTCTCTGGATTCTAGAAATGCAAAACAGAGGGCATGCAGGGTTGATACCTGAGTTTTTCAACTCGACTATCACATGCAGATTGAGGAAAGAGTACCTGGGATTGATTCGAGTTGGTTTCGAGCACCACCAGTCTTGAACTCGACAAAATTAGACTGGTTTCCTTGGTCGAAAACAGGGAATGAAGAACACTGTCGAAACAGAGGTTAAAATCCTCGATTTTCACATTAGAATTCATGCAGGAACTTCACAATAGGAATTAGAACTTACTTTGATTCATGTTAACGAGATTTTGGGCAGAATTCACACTGGAGCTCGACGAGTGAACTCAGAACTCTCGGGTTCCCGAGTTCAGTCTCTTCCCAGCACCTGATCACATATGCAACGGCACCATTGTGATCCTTAGGTCATGGTGATTCAGAATATGGTGGTTTTGAGGTTCGATTTGGTCGAAATTGTGGTGCTTGTGGGTGGTGGTTCTCGGTGAGTTAGAGAGAGAGTGAGGGAGTCAAAAGTTAGAGAAGGAGAGAAATGAGGGAAACAGAGAGAAACAGAGTGGGGTTAGTCCCCCTTAAAAAAATTTCCAATTTGAAATTACCACTTTGCCCGCAGTCAAATTAAATTCATAACTCGACTCTCGTAACTCCAAATTCGATTCCGCTTTCAACCGCACACTCATAAGTACGAAAACTAATGTAATAAAATAGGAAAATGTGAGAAATTGAAGTTTAACTCAAGGCTCCATAATTATTCAAGACACCCAACTAAGGGTAGTTTGGTCATTTCACATTCTTCAGGAATAAAATTTATTATTTCAAAGTATGGATTATATCACTTCTGGCCTTTGACAACCTTACTAGATATGCGAGGTTAAATTTCCCTCAGTGCATCTCTGGCCCTATCACGGTGTAGGGGTTGGCGCCTATCATGCTCTTCCGAGGACTTCGAATCATCAAAGCTCAAATGAAGGGGTTCTATCCAGGACACTCGTGTAGTGTCTAAGGGATCTAGGTCATGTTTAACCTGCATGTCCTTCTAGAGTTATGTTGCTCATGTTACCATAATTGAAGACTCTCTGGATTTTTGTAGTGGTCCCGCTAAAGTTTTCTTGAGCTTTCATCTGTGCCTCGACGTCCACAAAATTTGCATGATTCTCTGCCTGAGAAGTCATATAGGCTATTTGCAATTTATGAACAAAAATGTTGATTATCAGTAGGGTCTCCTAAATCTGATCCATAATGTGAGGGGTTCCAGTGATTAGAGCTTCACCATTCCCCTGGATGGTTGTAACAACATGGGGTTTGGTTGCTCCTTCCAAGAGTGGTGGAGGCGTCGAGAATAAGGATATTCCTAGCAGGTGCGGTGATGGTATCGAAAGTTGAACTCTCCTGTCACCATGTTAATGTTGGCGTTAACATAGCTTTGTTCTGCACTCATGTCTATGGTTGAATGATTTGGTTTGGAGGAATATGAATTCACTCTTAACGAGAGCACCAATTGCAAGAACCAAATTCGTGCACTGTCGTAAAGGGTGGAGATGCACAAATCTGTTAACCTGTAAATAGTAAACAACTGTAAGTAGCCAAAGACTGGGAGGGGAGTGCCGGTCAAAGGCTTTCCGACGGTCAAGTTAGTAAGCAATATTATGAGACTCAAATAGTAGGCAAGAGAATAAGTGTGCGATAACTGCGTTACCAAGGATAAACCTTAGAATGGTGTATTTATACCAGTTGAGGTAGAGATATTGCAGGATAGCAAATCCATATTAAATTGGGAAAATCCCAGAAGATATCTCTGAAGTAGGTATTGTATGTCAATCTTTAGATTATAAGGACTCCAAGAATATAGAAAATCTACTGACTCCTTACTATATTAGGTTTTCGTGTCATACAAACCAAGCATGGTCAATCTCGGCGATATCGTCAAACTTCGCCCACTACTCCGGAATAGGACGATGGCATAATCACTGCTCGTTTATGCAGCTTCGCTGGGAAGCTGTTGAGTCCATGACCGAACTTTTGTCGTATTTGTATTTCAATCTGCCTAACTCCAGCCCTAAAAAATCATGATACCACACATGTTGCTTGTTTGCAAAGTCTAAATCCAAAGGTAAAAAATAGAACAAGGAAACAAACATTGTGCTGCAGTTTTTGAATCCAAATGTTAAAAAATAAGAGTTGCACGAGGTATGAAGCGTGAGAGGCATGTGAGTGATGCTTGGGATTGACTTGATTCAAAATAAAATAATTTGCACACTGCTTAGTTGCAGAGTCTAAATTCAAATGTAAAAAACAAAATCAGATAACAGACACTGCAACGCAGCATCCGAATCTAAATGTAAAAACAGAACCAGGAAATAGGCATTTACGTTGCAGTGTCTGAATCCAATTATAAAAAACAAGAGTCACAAGAGGTGTGAAGCATAGAAGACGTGTGATTGACGTGATTTGAAATAAAAGAATTTGCATGGGGTCACCTATAGTGGCATGAAGTAGTAAATTTTGTTTGATTGAGGTTTTATGATGTACCTCAAAGTTTTATTAACCTATTTATAATTAGAATAAATTTGATTGATATATTTGTTTTATAATGTATCTCAAAGTCTTATTGACCTATTTATAATTAGAACAAATTTGATTGATATATTGTTAATGTCATAACATTTTATTAAGGATAAATTACACTTTACCACCTCATGTTTGAGGTCTATTACAACCTCATACAACATCTTAAAAACATTTCACTTTCATACATCAAGTACTATTTTATTTTAATATTATACATCTATTACATTTTTCATCTATTGAATTTGATCCGTTAAGAGCTGACATGGCTGCCAAATTTGTGCCACATGACAATTTTTTTTTAATAAATTTAAAATATAATAATTTACTCTATTAAAAAAAAAATAAAAAAAAAAAAACCTGAAACCCATTCCCCTTCCCCTTCCTCGCAACCCCCCCAACCCAAAGTCCCAAACCTTAAATCTCATGTCTTCTCCGATCCACTCTTCCCTGTTCACCTCCCCGACCCATTTCGTCTTTCCCACCCGAGCACCCCCTTCTCCCATCCCCCATCATCACCCACCCTTTGCCCACCCAAGCCACCCCTTCTCCCGTCACCAACCCCGTCTATCAACCCCCGGATCTTCTCTACCTTCACCTTCGACAACACAATGCAACCACCACGAAGCCTCGAGCTTCAACAATCCCCGAGTTCAACAACACATTAAAGTCCCACAAAGACCCGAAATCAACAACTTTGTTGTAGCCCTGTGTTTTCCTCCGACAAGTTTAATTTCCATGATAACCCTTCTGAGATCTGGGGAAGGTCGTTGATTGAGATCCAAGCCCAGGCGGCGAGGTTCACGAATTTGAAGATTCCGAGGAGCCACCATTAGATGACGGAGTCGTAGACGAAGTGTCAATCCATGTCGGAGGTGAGGGTTTTGGGAATTTGGGTGCAAGGGTTTGAAGACACAAGTCGACAACATGGAATCGCGGATAGTGTATGGGCACCGACGGCGGGGGAAGAACTGGAGGAGGTGTGCGAGTTTGAGAGTGAGTGAGTCTGGATTGGCTTCATTGCAGTGGCTGAGGAAAGGGAAGGTGGCAATGGTGGGCAGGGGGAAAAAAAAGAATACGAGGACGGGGTGAGAGTAGGAAATGGATGAACAGCACCTTTTTTTTTTTTTTTTTTTTAATCTTTTCTATTTTTCAAGTTTTTAATTATAAAAAATTAATTTTCTATTTATTAATCTTTTTTATTTATTTTTATTCCATGTGGATCATAGTTGGCATCCACATCAACAAAAATGTTGACCTCACATTTTCCATGTCATCACTTAACTATCAAACTGACGGTTCGACTAACGAATGTATGAAAATGCTAAAAATGATAAGTAAATCTATGAGATTGAAATGTTTTAAAGATGTTGTATGAGGTTATAATTACACTCAAGCCTGAGGGTGTAAAATGTAATTTACCCTTTTATTAATTTTATAAAAATTATCCTAGATTTTAACCCACATATAATAATAATAATAATAATAATAATAATATTTTTCGGCAGTATTAACTTACTAATTGATTAGAGCTTTTAGATTTGGACAAAAAAAATGATCTTTGAATCATGCAAACTATTATGAAGAGAAGTCAAATGCCCGGTTAGAAGTGCATTAAGTTATTGACTGATTAGTGTTTATGTATTGTGTAAGAATTACTGATTTAAAGTGAAAATCTGTACGTATAACTTTGTAAATCTATTTTTTGGAACGATGATGACGGATGATGATGAATGGTGGAGTTTGCCGGGTGCCTTTTCTACAACGTCGTTCTCAAAAGCATATTGGGAGTTTCGCAACATGTTAGAACTCTTTTCAACATCAGTCGTTAGACATGATCGGGGCCGCGGCATATAGTCATCTGCAACCAATATATGCCAAAGTCTCTTGTTTGAATGCTTGAAAGTTCCGTGCTTTCAAACGAAGTGTTTGGGTAATTTCTTTCCCACTTCAATTGTTTTTTTTTTTTTTTATGTCTGATCATAACATAAATTTCAATTGTTGGACTTGATCAAAATTAAACACCAATCACATATGAAACAGAGACAACTATATATGAACGACATACTAAAAATGATCATTTTAATGATTGCAATTTGGAATTTGAAAATTGATAATTTGGCCAATTTTCTTAATCTTTTTGAGTTGGGTGTCCAAAGACATATTGGGTGTAACGAGAACTTCTCTAAAGTCGACCTATCATTCTCTTCCATGGATATAATTATCACACTGGAATAGAAATGTTGTAAAGTGCATAACAAGGAGACCATAGGGTTGCTCGCTAGTCAGACGGCTTGATAGCAAGTCAGACGGCTTGATAGCAATTCCATTTTAATGGCTTGACAGTCTATACGGTATCTTCGAAAAAAGTGTTAGGGTAACTTCCTCTCTGTCTCTCCCACTTGCTTAATTGGATCCTTAGGTGCAGTTCAATTGATGTCATTCATCTTACTAACTTGCTAAAAAGAAAAGAGAGATGGAGTTCATTGGGTTCTTTCAAGTTCTCCTCATGGTTGCCGCCATCATGATTCTGTTGTACGTATGCTTCAGATCATTGATGTTTTCTTGTTGGCCTTTTTCTTCTTCTTCGAGCGATGATTATGATGATGATGATGATATCCCAGCCCCTCAAGAAGAGTATGATGAAGGCGACGGATTTATATTGGTGTCCCAAAGGCAAATCTGGGGCAATAACTCAAGGTTCTTAATTCACACCCTCGAGTTGTTTTTTGTCATTAGGTACGACAAGGTTTCAAACAACCAAATCTGCAAAATTAAAAGTGATAGTGTCAAAAGTTGCAGCAGAAACAAATGTAAAAGTATGTTAAACTTATAACAAAAAAAGGAAAACGAAATTAGCTAGAATGCATAAGGAAACCCCCTCAGGTTATAAGAATCCTAATACGCAGTCACCCCTTTTTTCTTTCATAAAGGTGTACTGGGTCAAAGGATAGGTCTCCCACTTT